ATTGATCCATCGGTGGCCACTGGTCAGAGATGAAGCTCATCACAGGCGGGCTCTGAAAGTGGCGTCAATATGAGTCTCTAAGAGCTAACCTAGGCAGTTTAACACCGACAAGGCTAGCTTTGACCGGTCAGTGATAAGGGCACCGTCCACCTCAAATTGATGATATGGCATCACGGACCGGCTGTTATAGGTGTCTAGTCAGTGATATTGCGTCATCACTGACCACCCTATTTAGTACCCGGTCATTCAGTGGCGGAGCTTGGGCCAAAATTCTGGAGGGGCAATGGGCTTAGGGGGAGCTAAATTATGAGGCTTGGCCTTATTTTCCTGTACTTATGGCCTAAATACCTAGGAATAGTGACAGATTTCTTCATGGGCTGGGGGGGCGGTGGCCCAGGTTGCACTCCATGAAGCTCCGCCACACGCGGTCATTGGTGTATGTTCTAAATTTATGAGCAACATCTTCCCGTGAGGTGTGACGGTGCAGAAAACCATCCTTTCCCTGCACCTCATGGGGCGGAGCGCGCATAGAGGATCAAATTGGGGTACACGCGAGACAAGGGTTTACCCAGGTTCAGGCCCTCATTGTGAGGTAATACCCTACATCCTGTGTGTATTGTATTGATGTGGCCTCGTATGAGGTGTGCATGTTTTGGATATGTTCGATGCCTCCTTGGGAGGCCCCTACCTCCCCTTATATAGGTGGATGAGGGGTAGGGTTACATGGCTTGTTGCCCAAGTTTTCTATGAATCATGTCTTACTATACAAGTAATGATATATCCTTCTAGAGGAGGCCCACCGTTAGAGGCGAGCAGCCCAAACAATAACCAGGCTCCGAGGCCGGCCTGGTGGCCTTATTTCCCGGAAGTCGGGTACCCCGGTGTATTGCAACGTAAGTAGACCCTGAGCACATGTGGAGTGGGAGTCTTTTGTCTTTGGAAATGAGAACCCAGGCGGGCTCCTGCTGTTTTGGCGACTGTCATGGTCTGTCTGCATGATTCCGACCTTGAAGTACTTAGGTACTAGGTGTACGGCCTCCTAGGTACCCTTAGCGTACTGATCCATCGGTAGCTTGGCTGCATTAAGGTTAATGCCGAACCGAATGTGCCGTCTTAGACTGCTCGGCGAGGTCTTGAGGGAGTCCTTTGAATGAACAATGATCTTATGCCGACCCCCCTGAAGATGTCGGAGGTGACATAGTTCGTCGGGCTTGTTGCTCCTAGGAGGAAGTCGAGGACAACCGTGCTTGGTGAGTTGGGTGTCTGACCTCTCCTCTTCTTTGTCATTGTAGACATTCGGCTTCAAAAATCCTCGGCTTGGCGGGCGTGCGACCTCCTTGAAGAGGTCGGAGATGACATCGTCTATCTCACATCGCCGACGACGTGCAGGTGACGGGCTCCAATGAGGAAGAGTAGAGGATGGGAGATGGCGACGCCTCGAGTCCCGTAAGATGGTATGTGTCACATGTCCTACTCTACCTCGCCGACGACCGTATCAATACCCCGAGGGACGCAGCCAGCCGTTCGTACATGGACTCGGCGGAGCCGGACGAGCTCCGCTTAAGATTAGGTTTCGCGTGCATGTAATTGTATGGATTTGAGAATTAGTAATGAGGTATCTGGTTGTGGAAATGAAATTTGAGCCTGACGGGTCATTGTCCGCGAACGCGCTCGGACGTGCCCACAGGTGTTTGAAGGTCAGATTTGGTGTATCCGCTGTAGATCCTCCTACGTACAGTACGTGTTAATCCTGGATTACGTTTATTTGGGTGGAGGGGAGCTGGCCGCGGCTGAGGGCCACATCGTCTCCGGTAGATGTTGAAGGTGAAGACCAAAGCTGATAGGTGTGTCTTTTACTCGTTTGGAAGCAAGACAATGGCGGCCATTGATTCCGTACTAAATCGAATCCACGGAACTGAAAATGCTCACAGAAATGCGCAAATACTAATAACTAGAAAAACATGAAGTAGTGCATTCGGGAATTCCTATTCGATAATACTCTGAAGAAGAATTGGTTCATCAAAAGTAGATCTTGTCGGGCTCCTGAGCCTTACAGGTGACCTCAGCGAACAAGACGACCTCGGGGCCCGGCGGCGCCAGCGGCAGAGCGAGCGGACAGCTGAAGCCCAGCTTGCGCTTGTTGCCGAGGCCGTCGAGCCCCACGTAGGTGACCTCCCCGTAGAGGCGCACCTCGACACTGAACACGCCCGTCGCGTTCTGCTTCTTGAAGTCCTCCTCCGCCGCCGCGTCCAGCACGTACGCCGGGACGTCCCCGACGGCGCGGACGACGTGCACCTTGGTCTTGAGCATCTTGTGCTTGTGCCCCTCGCCGGCGACGGTGGCGTTGTACAGGCGCCGGTCGTGGAAGACGAAGGTGGCCACGAGAGGCTTGGTGTGCTTGATGACCGCCCCGCTGGGATTGCGGATGGCGAGAGCCACCGAGATGTTGAAGGCGAAGACGGGCGTAGGCGCCGCCGCGCCGGTCGTTTTGTTGGCGAAGGCGAAGCTGTTGAGACGGGCGTCATAGACCTTGGCCTTGACTTGGGGGACGACGCCGAAGCGCAAGACGACGACGGTGATAGCCGCGAGGACAGCGGCCACGGCGAGGCCGATGCCCAAGCCGGCGAACCACCGCCTGCAGTTTCGTGGTGGTCCATACGGGCAGCAGCAACACTTGCAAGACTCCGCCATTTGTGACACCGTGAGTCTGACAGGTTGGATGATTATGTCGCCAGACTGGGCCACTTGGGTGTAGGGTGAATCTGGCCGCCGGAGTATATTGTGCGCATCGGTGGATAATTCCTCTTGATAGGAAAAACAACTGAAACTGACGATTTCTGTATGCACACACAGCCTAAATATTCAGTTATTACTACGATGTTTAGACGACATCTTAAACATCTGAAACAACTTATGAGAGCAAACAAGGAAATTATGTTACAGTATATGATTATATGAAGTCCGTTGTCGCCTAATCGCCTGCAACAACAAAATGTGCGGGACATGTGCTACCCAGAGCAGTGGGTAGTAATGCTAAAAGTCAATTGAGCAAAATGCCAAGCAACTCGGGCAAGTAGGCATTTGGAAAGAAGATTGTTGAATATTGCAGACTACGGTTGGTATGATCTTAGCTGCCATTGTCTTTGGGTTACCGTATAGCAAGATGTTTGGTTTAATCCCCAAATAGTTTAAGTTGGTTATAAACTAGACTAACTTGACCCCGTTGAATGAGCCCGTCAATTTGTCAAACAAGCATGGCACGGAGCAGGTATGCAAATGCCAAGAAGGGATCTACAACATGTAACAATAAGGACATTTCAATGCTTTTTTTGGTTTGTTTGTTGGTGAAAGTAGTCATGTCATCAACCAACAATTCATCTTGCAACTATTCCAATAGAGTGTATGCATTGCACCCAACGGGAGGTGAGAGCATTAATAAGGTTGCCCTCTCATTCACCCGCAAAAAAAACGTTGCTCTCTTTTTTATTTTGAAGGGAAAAGCCTCCTGGTACTTTAGTGCGAAAACTATAGAGTTACATCATTCAGTACTACCTCTCTCTCGGTTTACAGGGCGTGCGCGTACCCCTAGGTCGTCAATTTGACCAACCTAGTACAAGTCATATATTACAAAAAATATACCAACATAAACTTTGGAGTTCCTACTTTCAAAATATATAATTTTTGTGTTATATAGTTTATATTAGGGTGATAAAATTGGCTACCTAGGTATACGCGCAAGACTTGTAAACCAAAACGGAGGTAGTACATTGGTAATAAAAAACTCTCCTCCCTTTCTCTCTTCATTAATTTCATTTCACCTAATGTGCACACAACTCTCCTCCCTTTCTCTCTTCATTAATTTCATGCCACGTCATCAAAAAATCATGTGTCGCTAAGTGTTGTTCTACGGTGCATCCCGTGCATAATTCTGGCACTTTGTTATGGTGGTTTCATTTGGAAGGACTTCTTTTAAGATCAATGAAGAGTCAACTACTCTTGCTCTGGAATCGGCAATTGGCGTCAAGACATCATCCTTGCAAGTATCATCCATTGGTGAACGTGTTTTCCCTTTTCTGGTTTCTTGCAAGAATGTTGGATTGTTCATTCTTCATCAGATGAATTTCATTTGTCATGCATCTGGCGATGGTGGATGTGGTGAATCGCCCCCCCATGGACCAGTTTGTAATTTTCTTTCTTTCTGAGGTGTGTTGTACCACTGTTCTTTGCAATCTAGTCTTGTGGTTCTCCTAACCAAATTTTTTTTGCTACTTTCATGTTTGGGGCAATGAGGGACCAAATTGGGTCCCAGAATTTGATGATTCGCAGGGGCAATCTGAGTTTGAATGGTTCTTCTACTGATTTACTGCCAGGAAGATATTTGTGAATGGGTGGCAATAGGCCATCCACTTCGTCCCCACCTCATATTCGATAATCATGCTCATGGCATGATGGATTTGGAAGCGGTACAACGCGGTCATCTTCGACGGTGCACAGCCCACCTACTCAACACATTCAGGGTTGAGGACTGGTCGTGGGCAAAGGCGGGAACATTGGATCTTGCGGCGCTATTTCTGGCAGGTGTCTAGCTCGTAGGGGGTGGCATTGCAAAAACGGGTTTGGCCCTTCTCGGGCTAGACTTTATTTTTCTATCAACACATCAAGACACAAAGTTTTTGCTTTCCCTTGCTACATTCCATCACATAAATTTGTCTGAACTAAACCCAAAGAGATATGTGGAGTACGTAGCAGTTACAAGGAGAAATACAATTTAATAGGCTTCACAGTGACGTACATATCATAGCATACTGTTTTAAAATAATTCATTATAGCAGTAATAGAGAGCGTCCATTCCATCTTGCACATGTCTGCTGATCAAAACCCAAATTTCATGCTGGATGGAGATTGGAGACCTGAAACTTCATACAGTAGGTTATCAGCAGCTGAAATGCAGAATAAGTCGGTTTATAACAGAGTGAAAATTGCATACCTGGCATGACATTTTAGTTTCTGATGGATGCACATCGTCCGTTTAGCTTGTCGAGAATTGTTTCTATGGATGGTCTCTTCAGCCGATCAATCTCAACACATTCCAGTCCTATTTCGATGCATTTTTTTACTTGTTGGAGGCCATCCGCATCTAACAATGGGTACTCGGATGCGATGCGCTGCTCTTTCCAATTTTCACGTACCTACGTATAGGATTGGAATCATGATCCTCAAGATAACACAAAAATCAATCGTAACATGAGCTTTTAAAGTTTAGTTTTCAAACCATGAAGCAAAATTTCTCTTACATTTTTTATGAACTGCACTGCCGACGGTTCTTTGCCTGGACAATTCTTCTCTCCCGTGGTAGTCTCCATGATTAGTAGGCCTAAACTGTATATGTCTGACTTCGTGGAGATTTCACCTTTGTATAGATATTCCGGAGCTATGTATCCACTGCATATCATTAAGATTTTTATAAGTATTATCGGAGAGATTAGAATGCAGTTTACTTTAAGACAAAGGAACAAAACATTATCGCAGTTTGTGGTCGACTTACTATGACCCAACAACATTCTGTGTGTTCATCCGTGTTTGTTCTTGACCAAAGAGTCTGGAGAGACCGAAATCGGCGATTTTCGGCACCATGTTATCATCCAACAGTATGTTTTCCGGCTTGAGATCCATATGGACAATAGGAATGCTGTGTACAAAGTGCAAACCATTGCAAATCCCCTTAATTATGTTGAAGCGTATGTTCCAGTCCATTTTTGTATGTACTTCTGAGGAAGTGAAACACTGAATTATTGAATTACTCAAATATAAAGAATTACAATAACGTGAACATTTATTTATTAGAATGCCGACAGCAAAAATATGTTCACAAAAGACAACCTTTCAGTACAATAGCAAGTTCTTTCGATAGTTGCAGTTTTTCCCCATTATTGAGCATTGAAAATATAACGGAATATATGGATGCCAAACTTCAATTCATAATGTAAACATATTTGAACATTATCATGAATGCAATTTGAGTCGGGTAGTATTATATACCAAAAAGATGTTTCTGAAGGCTTCCCAGTGGTAAGTACTCATGGCAAAGTAAACTCTCAACAATGTCAGCCACAATATATCTTCCGTTGTTCAGCACCACTTTCTTTTGACCTTCATGGCAGTAGCCGACCAACTTCAGTACATTTTCATGGTGGAGAGCCATAATATTCTGAACCTCGTTAGCAAATGCTTTGTCGCGCGCGATTGGCGAATTGTCCGCGAGTTTCTTCACGGTAATTATTTGGCCATCCGGCATATGTCCCTGTTCAACCTCAAAGATACTTTTTCAGCAACTCATGCCAAGGTGAAAATATGAAAGCAAAGGAATGACCGTACCATATAAACGGTTCCAAATGCGCCTGTACCGATTTTACGCGCCTCTGAGAACTGGTCGGTGATGGTTTTCAGAAAGTCTAACGGCAGATTCTTCGGTAATGTGCTCAGAACGCTCGGCTGACCTCCGCCAGCGCTAGTCGCCATTTCTGAAGGTTGAACAAGCTTTGAGGTGAGCTGCTTCAAGCTACGAATCTTCAGAAATTCTTATGCCCCATATAGAAGGACAGATCTAAGTGCACAAGACTAGGCATACACGGATCTCTTGGAAACGAAGCAGCATATATGATGCTTCTCGATTCGAAAGCACTAACCTGGAGAAGATCGAACACTTGGGGGTGATTCTCTCGAGCAGCTGTGAAGAGAGCAACGAAACGGGGATGAGGCTTGTCAGAAGAATCGCTTTCCTTGCTGGAGTAGTTGCTAGCTTCGGGTGGATTTATATGAACCAATCTAGTGAGATCTGGATGGAGCGCGTAGGTTGACTTGACTCAAAGCGGGCTAGCCTATGATGCTCACTCGCTGCTGTCTTTCTGGGAAAACAGTATGATGCGCCCACTAAGAATATAAAATCATGTCAGCATCGCTGCTTTAATTATCCTCACACTGTAGCTCTTTCCACACCGTGGAATTCGTCGACGGCGAGTCCGCGTGGCTCGCGAGGTGGGGCCACAAGTTAGCGTGTCTCTGTCAGTACGCAGTGTCAGGGGCAAGGCTTGTTGCGCTCTTTTTTTTCCTAAACCGAGGCAACAACTTTGCCTTTTCTATCAATTATTAAAGAAAATTTGGTCAGAAAATCCCTTTTGGAGGCAGAGCTCCATGGAGACCGGTTTTTGAAAAATTCAAAATCCATATTTTTACATGTCAAAAACTGAAAGAATAGATATATATGAAGGCATAATGCATAAGTGTGTAAATTTTCAGGATGAAATACGCTGAAACGAGGATTGTGCAAAAAAACACATATGATGATATTTAACCCATGATACTGTTCATCCTTTCAGGCCATGACTTTGTTTTTTTTACAGGTCGTATTTTAAGGTATTTCATCTTGAAATTTTACTCGTACAAACTTTTTAGATTTTTTTTGAAACTAAAAAGTTTGAATTTTGATTTTTTTTTTAAAAAACTGGAGGCTAGGAGCCAAAGCAGCCACACCAACAAAGCCTTTAGTCCCAGACAAATTGGGATAGGCAGGCTAGAGCTAAAACTCATAAGAATCTCCCAGCCAACTCATGGTTCTGACATATGGATAACAAACTTGCACACACCCATTTCCATGGCTAGTTCTCTCGTGATACTCCAGTTCTACAGGTCTCTCTTTACGGACTCCGCCCATGTGACCTCTCGACATTATCAGCATGACTTTAGTCGTCCGCTATATGCTAGAGCTTCTAGAGGCCTGCAGCTTTGGCGGGCGCTTAGCCGCCCCAGAGAGAGAGACGTCATCACCTCCATCATCACCCAGCTTCGCGTGATGGCTCTTCGGATGGCTCCTCCGCTTCCTCCACCACCTCCAGAGCCAGATTATATCCTCTCTACCTCACCGCCACCGCCATTTATGTGTTATGCGTGCCTCATTTCTGTGTTGGGCTTGTTGTGTTGTGCCCACAGCTGAACCTTGGGTAGTGTTTGTGTGTGTGCGTGTGTGTTGGACCCTGCCTGCGGTGGCGTTGTGTGTGTGTTGTTCGGCTGGTACCTTGTTGACTTTGTGCTCGGTGGTTTGCTTTATTTATAAAGCGGTGCGAAAGCCTTTTTCAGTAATATGTCCAAACCATCTCGGACGATGTTGTGCAACCTTCTCTTTCGGTCGGTGCTACACCAACTCTCCCTCGTATATCATCATTCCGAATGCCTCACTTAAATTTGCCAGTTAATTATGGAAGCGAAAACATTCAGGGCCAAGCCCACAGTCCAACAACGCAACAAACCCAAGAAAAGCACACCAACCCCACAAACACAAACAAACGGAAAACCCGCCAACTGAAACTAGCTGGCCTCCCATCACTGTTGAAGAAAAGAAGTCAAGACTGCTACGGGAGTAGTAGACCGGAACTCTCCTAAAGAGGTGGCAAAGAAAGCAGCATCCCAAACTATGTTCCAGGTTCCTTGCTTGCCACGCCAATGAACAACTTCGATTGTAACCTCGTCGCCTGCATGACACCAGGCCAAAGCCCTCAAAGTTGCAGAAACTCTCAGGGCCACCTCCCGACATGCACCACTCCATCGTGTCCTGGACGATCAACCAACACCACCTTCCGGGGCCGCTACACCCGACATACCGCCGCTCGCCTCCGAGCCGCAACGCCACACAATGCGGCCGCCCGTAGCCCAAGCTACACAGGGAAGCCGCGCGCAGACCATGGCCATCACACCAACTCATTTGCCCTCCCCCCACACACATAAAGTTGACCACCCACTCTGAGGTGCGTCAACGGAGCCGACAACTCTACTACACTGGCGGCACATGATTGTCACCCCAAGCCATCACCAATACGACGCTCCTGCCTCATAGAAGGCCGCCCGCAATGGTTCCCGAGGCCATCGGCTAGATGCACCAACAACAACTCGGGGCCGCATCCCCGACATCCCCGCCTCACGATGACATGAGGGGAATGCGCAAGTAGGTGTGTGCAAACTCTCCAAGACGACGCCTCCAAGTAGGAAATGAGGTAGCCGCCGTCATCGCCCACTCCGGCTGCCGGAGCTAGGGATTTCTCCTGGAGAACCCACCCCAAGAGGGATGGGGAAGAGCTTCACATCAACACCTTCAAGAAGAAAAATGACAACAATACGAACGGTCGGTCAAGACTTTCACCCGAAGCTCCTCCACATAGATTCCCGGAGCACACACCACGCAACACACCACCCCGCAACGCCAAACAACAACACATCACACTACAACGGCTGACCACAAACACTACAAAAAAGACACATCCGTGACATTTTGGGTCGAACAAAACTTTTTTCTGTCATACATATGACACTTCTATGATGATAATAGTGACAAAACCCGGTATCATCATAGATGTGGTGGGCTCCTACTTCTATGACAAAAAATCATGATAGGAAATGGGCTTTTCGTCCTGGGTGGGCCAGAGAAGCAGCTGCATGACATTCTTTGGGCCGTCCATGACGGAAAAAACCGTGGTAGAAGCGAGGGCGAGGAAAATTTTGGGGAGTTCCCGGTTACGGTGGGAGGTCGGGGGCCGAGCGATGCGCATTTCTCTCGTACACGTACACGCGTGTGTGCGAGGCGTTGGCTCTAACTAAACCCGAGCGATTGCACTGCAGGCCACGCGTTACTAAACCCGAGCGATCGATCGATGACTGTTAACTGAACCCGATCGAGTGATTCCTTCGCTACTGC